TTTCTTTACGCTCTCGACTGTTAGAGTCAATGATATTATAGGTAGCAATGCCAAGTTTGGACTTGATAGTTGAGGATTGGGTAGAGAGTTAATAGTAAATATGTATTTTGTTATATCTCAATGAGTAGAAAAATTGTATTTCTCACGTTTTGTGACTTAATATACGCCACTTCTTCAGAGTAAATAAATAACCGAAATTAAACAAAACTTGGAGAAATTAACCGTATGGACCACATCTACTTGCTCCCATATAGTGTCATGTTTGAGGTTGATGAGGCGCTGAAGTCCTGTTGTTGCTATCTGTTTTGTCATTTTAAGATCTTGTCCGACAAATTATGGAACTGTGCATCGGTATATTCACAAGACAAATTCCGTCATTTAAATTGATTAGACGTTTTGTATTGGCTTCAAATCTTCCACTTTCTCTATGAACCTTACCGATGTATATATATTTTACAATCATCAGGAGAAGACCCCAACTTTTAAATGCATCAATAACACAAACATAACACCGAGTAGGTAGGCTCTAGTGGATTGTACCAATAACAAACTTGAGCGCTCCCTTTGTACCTTATGTATCACTGAACTGTGGGAATATTATTACTTAAAAAACACAACTCTTTATTCAATTTAGAAGTATAACGAGAAAGCAGTTAAGTGATATTTGATGATTATTCCAAAGGTAATAGATTATTCAGTAAGGTTATTCAAACCACGTAGCAGTGTGAGTTAAAATACAAATTTGAGAATTTTCTACTTCATCGATCAACAGCCTAAAATGCTTATTTCTAATTTAGTCAGTTTTTTCAAAAAAACAATAACTTGCCAAAATACGATAGATTTGTTAATTTCTGCCTTAAAATGTTTAATAAATCTAGGGTGAATAGAAATCGGTGGCCAACAAGTTATGTGTGTTGTGTTTAGAGATTGAACAGATCAAAACTCCACTACTACACAAGTCCGTACTATAATCTAAGCAACCAATTAGTACTGGTATGTTGTTTATCAATCCAATAACTGCCATCCATTCATCATAAAAAACAATGTACTGTTAGAAAATAATCGTTATTACTACTTTTTAAGATATTTATATTTATTTCTTTCCCAGTCATTTGAACCTGTTAAAAGTTCCGGCAATTCAAATTCATTTAAATATGTTTGGTCTATGCCGGAGAATATAGAATTCGTCACTACTTTATATCGAAATGAAAAAGCAATTCAATTTGAAGAAAAAGAATGGATATGTCAAATCGAAGATGTAATTAGTCTTTTCTTTATTATTTAAATAAACTATTTCACCATCTCAAGTAAATCACTCGTGACTAGCAGATCTGTCAGAAATCTAATTTTAGTATGCATGTGTTATGAAATCTGTTATATGATAATCTGATTATCGTCTTTATTAAATACCACTAAACTGATAGTTGATGTTGTTATTCATAACATTTATATCCTGTTCCATGAATGTAGGGAGTTAAGCTTGTAAATTTGAGTGTACTAAACATTTTTGCTTTGTTCTTTTGTCCTATTTAAACTCGGATTAATTAAATTTGTTTATCTATTTATTTTCTGAAGAAGTGGCTTATCATGAGTCACAAAACGTCAGAAAATCTAATTCTTCTACTCATTAAGATATCACAAATATATCATTAGTCGTATTATTAATTTGTGATTAAGTCGTAAGTTTATTTCCTAGTTGAGTGAATCAAGAAAATGTGATAGGTTTGAAAGATTCCTGCTATCTAGGTTTTATTGTTTATGATCGCTAAGTAGCTATGTATATTTAGGTAAACAAGTATCCTTTGAGCTTTTTCCAGTTGATTTGATTTGACGTATTCATCCTGATTTATCAACCTTACACACAATATGTGGAATTGAATTCAGTGTTAATAAAGCGCTTGTAAATGTTTTGGAATTCCTGGTGTAAAAACCAATTACTATCAGCTGTGTAAATAAAATCTAAAATAATTCCTACTCCTGCTTGATGGCAATGTTTCCTCTTATGTATAATTTAATAATAAAAAATAAAGATACCTGTTCACTTTTGCCTTACCTAAGCTAATTCGTCATGTGATAAAATCTTATTACTAATTAATATCAACATCTTTATGATATTAATTTGCAGATAAAACTCAAACATTTACACTAGGCAGCTGTCCTTTTACTAATATTAAGTCTTCCACCTTTCCGACTAATTTTGTTAGTGTGTCTTACAACAATTTGGCAACTCAGACATTTAAAAACATTAATATGGAATCTTCAATGATAACGACTGTCCATCAAAATACATATTTATTACGCTTATTTGTGACAATTCAAATTTGCCTGGTTTCAGTTTTCATTTTAATCGAAATAAAGCTTTTTGGCAACTTTTCATGAAGTCTTATCGATAAAAATTGGACATATATATTCACTAACAATCTATCAAACAGAGATCTTGTTTTCTTGATGTTCAAAATAAAAAGACAATTTATTTATCTATTATTTGGTCTTGAATTAAAAACAGTTTTAGGAAGTTTGGATAAACACTGCTTCTTATTAGTTTTATTTCTTCGAAAGGGGTATTTAGGTAGTAAAAATCTTTCGAAACTATCAGATATAATTGAAACTCGTAAAATGCACTACAGTGATGTTCGTGATCAGTGTTTTCAGCTTTGGATTTATGTAACGTGACGGTGTTTATTCCATTAGGTGTATATTTTTGTTTTATTCCGATTTCGTTTTCAGGTTGGAGCTAAAAATTCAGGTTTACTTGCGGCATCTACACCATCGGTTAGACGACGTGTACTTGCTACCAGACAAATCGATATAGCCGAATTCGTCTCAGATTTACCCGTGCAAACAAATCTCAAAGTAGTCATGCGTCTCGCTTCTAAAAAGTTAATATCTGCTACAGTTCTCCTTACGTTAAATTCCGTTATTGTAAAAGCTGGAGAAGCCACGTTAGTTGTTTTTAGAATTTAATATGCATGTTGTTGTTTTATTCATAAGATTATAAGTAAGTGAGATTTTATTCCACTAAAATTAGTTGTTAAATCACTTGAGTCACTGCTTTTTAAAGCTGTTAACCAATCGCTAATGTTTACTTCAGATTATATAAATATTTTACATTGTCAATGTATTACGAAACATCATTTTACGCAACCGATAATGTAAAACGACGTATCCGAAAATTATTAATGGAACGTAATATCTCACACCGTAGTGAGCTGAGTATAAAACGAAGTCCTAAATTTTCTTAATGAATGGATGGATCATCAGTTGATCTGAGGTAGGCAAGCTTTAAGAACCAAAAAGGATTGAGAAGCTGTTTCACCCAAGCATAATACTTCTCAGTCAACTGGGTTTCGAACTCTAGACTTTCAGATCTCAGGACAGCCTCTTAAACTTTAAACTACTGGTTTCAAATTTATCAAAGTTTAACATGTAAACCACTGGAGGATAATGATAGGCTAACATTATTAATTTGAAAACCATTGTGTTCAAAAGTAGTAGTGTATTCCCTAAAGGATCTTCAAGATATTTAACTGATTTGTGTGGTTTTTTTTGGGTGCAGTTCAACATTGCCAAAGCCTCAAAAGTTCATTATTTTGACCCTAACGTGATTTGGAACATTATATGTTGGAAGTCATATGGGTGTTGATTGTCCTTGGCTTTATTTAAACTGAGATCTTTGTACTGGGTATTTGTTAGAAATGAAGATGTGATTCTGTCAGTTTTAAACGTTGAACTTAAGCTAGAACATAATATTCTGATTGTTCCTACTCGTACCTTTCATCTCAATATGTCGGTTGGACTTGTCTATCGTAACGACGCAATCAAACCATATCAGCTAGAACGTATGTTCTTTGAGACTACCAATTCGGGCTCGTATGTCGGATAGTGGTAAAACTGAAGGGAGAAAATTTGAGTTCCTAGGGCGAAGTCGTATTTTGGTGCGTGCTACTTATATTGACATAAGTAGTATATAACGCGAGTCAGGAATGTAATGTCTGGTAGCAGAAGATTGGGAAGATCAAGGAAGGAAGAACGGGAATAGAAAGCAATTAATATGGAAATGCAAGAACAATGAAGTCCGACACAATTATTGAACATTTTGCAAATTAGGTATTATAGTATGGTTATTCTATTTTAACAAGTAACTCTGTAATCCTGTGTTAAATATAATTCGGTTGTCCTCAACTATGTTCTCCTTCGCTACAGTATTACCAATTTTAATGGGATATAATTACAATACGGTTTTTCCGAGAGATTGCTATCATCTCCAGTTATGCTGCCTTCTCATACCGCATGTTAGGGGCTAGAGATGGTCGACCCCATAAACCATTTCTTGCTTTCTCTTAAGGATTTTCGATGCACGTGGCAACATTTGAAGATGTAGTTAATACATAAAATAGTTGTTCATTGGGTTCCGCGATCACACTCTCAGGTCATCAATCCTACTGTCAATTCAGCTTCCTTCTCTTGTTTCCGGGTAAATATCCTTCCACTGTATCGGGAGTCAGAAATATACAACCGTTTTCTTGCCTTTAATGGCCTTTGAGATTTTGTTTACACTCGAATCCTTTCTTCGCTTCCTAACATTTCCTCTTTTTCTACTATCATTTACCATCTGTCACTAGTATTAACGTTTCAAACTTACGAAATTCTGTCCGAATTTTCATGAAACCAAAAGGCTTCTTTGAGTATGTTTGAAACCTACTGCCATCGATCTATGGTGCTTTTAAAATACACACATACAGGATCATAGCATGGTAATTCACTTGGCTTTACCTAGTTTATAAGGTGATCCAGCGTGATTTACCTGTTGTATGTCTGAAGATTATCCCGGTCGATAGGATTGAACCAAAATTTTCTTGCCATAAACATATTTATCATTGACAAATATAGTGTGTAAAATGTTACTTATTGCTACCACAGAACGTTTAACCTAAAGATTGTGCACAGGAAACTTGTAGAAATCAGACTGGTTTCAGATGTGGGCTTAAATACACCGATCTGATTTTCACTTTTTTGTAAGGTTCTTCAACGACGACATAGTTTTGTGGTTCGCACCACGAGTTAATCTTAGACAATGTTAGAACACCAGAAAGCACTGGATAGCCCTTTTGTTTTAGAGCAGGACTCCTCGACAGTGCACATCCATAACCCAAATGAGGATCGAACCCTGAGTTTTCAGGTCTCGTGGATGTTCTAGTTCTCCCTGGTTTTTAGATGTTGTCTGAGATTAATCCGACCTGTAAACTATGAAATCCAATAATCTTTGAAACATCCTGTAACAATAAATAAGCAAAGTTAATGACGCCCAACAACGGTGGTGTTTCTTGACTTTTAGGTGGCATTCGACTCTTGCACAGTCGACATTTTTTAAATAAAATTCCATTTATTCCCCCCTTAGGAACGAATCTCTTTTTAGTTATTTTCATATCAAGTCAACAACAGACGATGGACTGTCTAAAGTCTAACCTCTGGTTCACTTTATCATTAGCCCAAATGAAAACATTCAGGACTCGTGACAAGTTTGTTGTACATAAGCCTTCGTCTTGCAAGTCATAAATTCATTCATCAGACTTATTATTAGCCTCAGAAGATTCTGTTTTTTTTTCGTTTCTTCTGCAACAATATTCATAACAGGCTGCTTATCACAGTTTCTTGTTGAAAACCCATTCGTTAACTATTTCCACTAGTTTTTTGTGCAACATTTGTTTTAAGATCTAAAAGTTCTGAGCAGAATCTTCCATTGAATCAGATAGTTTCTTGATATATTAAATCAATTATCTCGTCACATTATTTTTGTTAGATTTCCTTAGCTTTTGTGAATTTGTGATGGTATGTACCCCAATTTCACATAAAATCGAGAGTTGTTCTCAATAGATGTTATTAAGAATAATCGAATTCGTTTGTATATAAAGCCATCTTTCTTTTTATATCTACTGATCCTTTCTTTTATTTCACTCTTTTTCAGTGATGAAGATATGATATCCATAGCATCACTCATGTCATTAAGTCGTACTGGAAGTTTTAACGTTGGCAGTGGAGTAACTATTAATGATCTAGGTGGTGTCGCAGCATTTTCACCAACAACAGCGAGGCTCTCTAACGTGGATGATTTTAATTCACATTCCTTTTCAAATAGTACTTTTCACACTGATCTTAGTGAATTAACTGCTAAACTACAATCTTTGGAACGACGTCAAATAGATCCCCTTGTAGAATCTCCTATAAAAGCAAACGGAAATTTTTCAGATTATTCTTCAGAATTAGATAATTCCAAAATCACTCTAAATAGTTCGAAGAACCAAGGTAATATGTACATATAGTTATTCTTTTTACAGTTTCAAGCTTGACCGTTACGTTGTGTTAGTTGTTGAAGTAACAGTAGCTGAGTTATCTAGAGTAAATCTGATCTGTGGTCTCTAGATGCATGTACATACGGATAACATCAGAGTTCATAAGATGACCAGATTTTGTTCAATATTTTAACTATTACTTGGCATATCAGGTGATTATAAAGCTACAACTCAGTTGACTATTATCGTATGTATATTTTCCTTTCGATTAGAGGATATATTTCTATTCATTTCGTTGTCATACCATGATCTCTAGAATTTTTATTCATTCACTAGTTACGAAATGCGGATCTCGTTTCACCATTCTCATACGATTGGCTGTATGGTTAACCTGTACACATTTGATGTAACTCCTGACGTAGTATTTGTATAACGCAAACAAATAAAAGTAAATATTTACAAAAGTTTATCAATTTAGAGTTTCACACTTCACTACAGCGTAGGTTACAGCTGTAGGTAACACCAGACAGCTCTTCATACTCATAAGAGACTGGAACTAAAAAGTCAAGTATAAGTGAGACTATCTCGGAAAAAGACGACCCTTTTATCTGCTCCCAGCCCAGGCGTTTATAACGATGGGCGGAACACTTTAAGGAGCAGTTCAGCTGGCCTTCATCTACTCTACAACTACTCACCATTTCCAGACAGCGTGAGTAGAACATTGGAGTAGCTGAAGTTCACAAGGCTATAACTAATCTGAAACGAGGAAGGGCAGCTGGTCCAGATGGATTGGCTCCAGAGGTCTGTAAGTATGGTGGTCCAATTTTAGCGATTAGGTTGACTAATATTTTAGCCAAAACCTGGGGATTGGACGTAATCCCATCTGACTGGTCGCAATCGCTCATTGTCCCGATATATAAGAAGGCATCAAAATCGTCCTGTGTCAACCATAGAGGGATTAGTTTAACTAATATAGTATCTAAAATACTAGCCTCGATAATTATCAGACGCCTAACTTAGACTCGTGAACTGCAAACACGTATAAATCAGGCTGGCTTCAGACCTGGTCGTGGCTGCATTGACCACATATTCACCATTCGTCAGGTTCTAGAACACAGGCATACTTATCGGCGTCCGACAATGGTGGTATTTCTTGACCTAAAAGCAGTATTCCACTCTGTAGACCGCGAGATTCTGTGGCAGTGTCTGTCATTGAAAGGCGTACCTCAGAAGTACATAAACCTATCTTTTACCAACTTGCGTCATTTATGGCGTAGGCGAGATATCCGTCTATCAACCAAAGGACGTGTTTACTGCGCAGCAGTCCGTTCTGTCCTACTTTATGGCAGTAAAACATGGCCGGTAAGAGTAGAGGATATCCTTAGGTTACTAGTATTTGATCATAGGTATCTTCGAAATATTGCTCGTATATCCTGGGACCATCGAGTAAGTAATGCAGTTGTTAGGAAACGGGTACTAGGTAAGAATGGCAAATCAATTGATGACGTAGTGAAACTTGATCAGTTGAGATGGCTGGGACATGTGTTACGTATGCCCAACCACCGACTGCCTCTATGTGCAATGTTTTGTTGTATAGGAGTAGATTGAAAGAAAGCTAGGGGTGGCCAGACCAAAACATGGCACAAGTCCATGAAGTCACTGACAAGTGAACTGAGCCATGTCGGTAGGTGTAGACTACCTGGTTGGCGACTGCGAGATGATAACAACTGATGGTTTAAGATCCTGAATGACATGGCTCAAAATCGTTTGCAACGGCGCAGGTGTATTCACTCTTTGTGTTCTCCCAAATTCTAATCTTCTGAATTCTTCATGTCCTTTTCTTTTTTCTCTTTCCAGATTTATTTCACTGGATTATACTCCTTGAATAACATATTCAAACCCTAATTATTCTGATTACAGCTTATAATTTTACTACATCTAACACTACGGGATTTGAATCGACCACTGCATCTCTGTGCTAATGTGGTGTGGCAACTCGGACTGATGTACGTACGTACGAAGTTCTACGTTGTTACTGACTGACTGACATAAACCTTGAGAAGGCTCTTTACTCGAACACTACTAGTCGAGTGAGAGCTTATCGCGAACTGTCATCTGCCTTTGCAAACTCAAGTGGTTTCCGTCAAGGCTGTCCACTTTCTTCATTTTTGTTTAACTCCATCATAGACCGACTGATGGAAATAACGTTCTCGTCGACTGAATTCTCGGGTATTGATCTCCCGTCAGGAGGTCTACTTATCGACTTAGAATACGCAGATGACATAGTCCTGTTTGTTGAAGACGCTGATAAAATACAGTCTTTTGGTAGCACTGAACGACAATGCCAGGATGTTTGGGATGCTCTTGTCCCCCTCTAAATGCAAGTTGTTGCTTCAGGACTGGCCTGCGTCAACACCTGAACTAAGGATAGGGAGTGAAGTAGTCGAACGTGTTGACAACTTCACTTATCTTGGAAGTCTGATCAGCCATAGTGTGTTGGTGTCTGACGAAATCTTAGTATGGATTCGAAAAGCTCGTTTGGCTTTTGCCAACTTACGTCACCTATGGCGAAGGGGAGATATCCGTATATCAATTAAGGGACGAGTATACTGTGCGGCAGTTCGTTCTGGTCCACTTTACGGCTGCGGAACATGGCCATTAAGAGTAGAAGATACTCGTAAGCCACTAGTAGTTGATCACAGATGTTTTAGAAATATTGTCAGGATCTGCTTGGATCACCTGGTAAGTAACAGTGAGGTTAGACGCAGGGTATGGTTAGAAGAAAGTTAGGGGCGGCCAAACCAAAATGTGGCATCAGTTATCGAAGTCACTAACTTCTGGTCTGAGCCATGTTGGTAGATGCAGGGGTCCGCGCGACTATCGTAACCAATGGTTGGAGACTCGTGGTGACATGTCTCAGAATCAATCACAATGGCGTAGGTGTATACACTCTCTGGCTTCCCGCAAACTGTGAGACTAAAATAATTTCATCTTTCTTTCTACGAACTAAGTTTCTTCCTGTACTATATCCTTATATGCAATCTTTCCTTTATATATTACACCATTGAGTTAATTGCTTCTATGAATTTGGTGTTCATCATGCTGTGCTAATGAGGTGTGGCAACTTGGACTGATGCACATATATGCCTGGTCCTACGTTGTAACTAACTGACTGACTGACTTTTACCTGTCGACATCAGTAGCCCACACCACAATGATACCTAGTTTGTCCACTGATATTTATCAGCATATTTACAAAAAATTAATAATAATGACAGATATACTTGGTAGATCCCATTCGTTATTGTAACTCATCCTAAAAAATATCTTTGTTATTTATTTAAACACAAACATTGGTACAAAAAGGCACCAAATAGATATACGCCACATAAATCATTCGGTTTGTGTGAAGGGTGGGATACTGGCCGGGTGCCCAGACCGAAGCAGGTGGTTTTCTTAAGGGGCTACACCCCGAGCCTTTGACCTAAAGGTCTGATCCACAAGGCAGTGAAGCATCGTGAGGAGATGCAGTCCCATGGTAGCCGGTGACCAACGATTGGTTCATACGCCCTTTGTTCCCTGAGGATCCTGGAGCCCATGTGCATCATTGTTTTGGAATCCGGTTAAAGCGCCGGACATTCGCTTTTTGTCCTCTCAATTTCGTAAACAACACCCGTGGTGCGAGAATGCAGTGAGTAGGACTCCCCTGGTAGAGGCTGTATACGCGTGGCCGTGTGAGAGTATTTCGAGAGGGAGGGCGGGCCCACCCCACTCTCGGCCGTACCAGGGCACTTGGGGGCATTTCCCTTCAATGTCATCTTTATTCACCTTAAAACAAATGAATTAATATATTGTTCGTAAGAATTATTTTTTCTATAAAGCATTGCCTTACCTTAAATTAGGAAAGGAACTTGGAACATTTTCAGTTAAACTGCAGAACTATAATTCCAAAACTTAAACCATAATAGGTTTAATGTCTGCATCTTATATCGGTGATGAGTTTTTGGAATTATTTTACTCCGTAGTGTAATCATTAGCCAGTACAAAAGACATATATCAACGTCCTTGTTACCGAAGAAATATATATGATATCGGTTTAATAGATTTTTGATTCATATGTTAGTGGTTTTTATTTTACAAACAATATCAACTCAGAATTATTAAAAACTTCATATTTCAAAACAGTGCACATGAAATCAAGTCTGAGCTTTGTATTAACAGTGTTTGCCCATGTTTTGTTGTATCATTTGGTGTGTGTAACACAACTCATTTCATCTTACAATGAGACTTATCATCAGTTATTTACCTTAGTCGATTCGATTGTGATATTACTTTAAAAGCTGACTTTTCAAGAGAACTGAATATTATGATTAAGATGTTCTATGTAATAGTGGGAAGCTGTTACTTAATATATATTTTTAGAAAAAATTGTTTATAAATTCACAGCTAACATTGAATATTTATGATAGTTCAATTTTTCATTTTCAAGATTCACTCTCATCTACGGTTGATGATATGTTGACAAAACCACTTATTCCTACTTTTGATAAAACAATTCCTAATTCAACTGAGTAAGTAGTGATTTCTTTTATTGTTTTCGCATTAATTAAGAGTAAATATAATTTTAAAAAATTATCATTTATCAATGTAGATTTATATAATTCTTTTAAGGTTTCAATCATAAAATTAAGTCGAATAATATTTGGGATATCAGCTAATTCGTGATTTAATCGTTTTCATTACTATTAAATGTTGAAATTTTATTTTTAACATCAAAGCATTGGATAATTTGTGCATTTTTTCTCAAATTGTTCCAATATAAAGTTAATATTAAAGAAACCAACTTTAAAAATGTTGGGGATGTTAGATACCCAGAACTCACCAGGAAAAGGATCTAATTTTGTAATTTTATTTCGAAATTTCTTTGTTTTCGTGTCAAAAGCGCTCTTTTCACCTTTATGTCGTATTTCTCACATTTGGGAGAATCTTAAACGCTATTGGTCCGTTGTGTCTTTTAGTATGCGATTTTGTAACGCTTCCCAAGGACAATTTTATGCTGTGGGTATACGTTTTGATTTATGTATTTTGTTATCGCTCGTGCTTTTGGCTTTTTGGGGAATATACTTTCCCGTTCGGGATTCGACTTCTCTTTCTAGTTAGCGGGGCTGAGACGCAATAGAATAGCTAGTTTATTGGTCTTTGGTCACAAGTCTTTGTTCCGTTCGCAGTCTAAGTGAACTCGTAACCGCTTCAAACCTAGCAGAAAATTATGATTGTTGGTAATGATTAAATTAGTTATTGTGGAATTCATGATATGATGAGAATGTTAGTCAAATTTTATTTTGTTTGTTTTAGGTTGTTTTTAAGTACCAAAGACTTGTAATCAAATGTGTGAGTCGAATGTAGATTTTTACACAACAAATATTAATGAATTACTCTACAATTCGCGTTCCCAGATTATTCTGGTGATATTATTTAACTTGTAACTTAATTGATTGGCTAGGATAGCATTCATAATTTAGTTACATTCCATTTAACTCTTGTCACTAATGTAAATCCCATAAATTTGTTGTTTACACATGCGATTTGCTTTCTACTATAATGTAGGATGTAAATCAAATAGTTTTAATGTGATTTAGAAACATAATGTTAGTTTTTAAAATGTAAAAATACTTCTGAAACCATATATTCATTGTTAAGTAGTTTAAAAGCTTAGTTGTCTTAACGAAGAGTGTTCGTACATACTAGTGTTAATTGATGAAGCTTTCAAGTTTTCTAAAATTCTCTGGAGAAACAATAACCATTGTTAAGTGTGTTATATGGTGTGTACCAAACGTATCAGTGACCTTTGCATTTACTATTAACTCGTGCATCTATACCCTCTTCTGTACATTAATATATGACTGAGCGATCAACATACTAGCCATTGGGCTGAATTAATCCACGGTGGCTTTCTGATTTTCAAGTTTGTTATGATTAACTCTCGTAGTGCTTTATATTTCCACCACCCGAAATCAACATCAGCAGTTTTATGTTATATAGATAAACGCAAATAGAATTAAATCACAGAAAAACGTTTAAACTATACAATAAGTAAACTGGTTATTCGTATAATTTACACAGTTCTGGAAGCTTGTGAAGATTACGTCATAATTAACAAGAATGCAGGTCGTTGATAAATAAATTATATTAGAAAAGAACATAGATGCATTATCATATAGATTGTTCTAGTGATTTTCTAAAACTGTTAATTACCAGATAGCAATTTAAATAATTTTAAAACTGTTTATGATTTTTAGGAACACTTACTGACGTCTTCCTAGTGTGTGTGCTACTGATGTCGATAGATATAAGTAGTATGTGCCATCAATCGACAGTGAAATACCTGGTGGCAGAAGGTTAAGAAGATCGTATAAAAGAGAACGAGAACAGAGAATGATTGATGTAGAGTCGTAGGAACAATGAATTCTGAGACAATTGATTGACATTTTGCAAATGAAGTGTTGACTGTATAGTTCTCAGATTTTACTATGAGATTCTGCTATTTTGTGTTCAAATACATTCCATTGTCCCAATTGTTTTTCCGTTCACTACATTACAGATAAGTGTCTTAAAATAATCGCAGTATGCTTATACAAATTTCATTTCTTTACTTTTTTTGCATCATGTGTATATGGTATTTTATAGAGCTTTGTTAATCGATCTATTTGTTCAATAAATAAATGTCATCGTTGACTGTTCACAGTATGTTCTAATATAGTTCATAATTACTTTTATTTGCCTATTTTGCATCAGATTAAAGCCTATTTCAACTCAAAGTCGATATGATTTACTTCTATGGTGTCAGTTGGTGACTAAATCTTATGACAATATACAGATAGTTGATCTTACTACATCATTCCAGAATGGATTAGCTTTCTGTGCTATCCTGCATCATTTTTTCCCCGATCGAATGTAAGTTCGCCTTTTGTTATTTTTAATTACCGTGTAAACTCAAGTTACGGAATCAGTGATTTCTTGTAAATGTTAAAACATATTTCTCCCATTTTTGTCGATATTCATACTTACTGAACAAATGTTGAAATCAATACTTATATCCTTGAATAATATAAATGAATAGTCTTCAGAGGATCGAGCATATAACTACTGGGTTCCTTGTTGTTACCTTTGTTACCTTTTAGATTAGTAAACAAGATCCAGTTAGCGTATATAATTTATTTTATTTATTCTTGTTACACTATTGTTTATAATATATTTATAGGTGATTACTGCTTAGTAGGTTTTAGGTATAGATTTAATTGGTTATATCACATAGTTTTAGTTTATTTTTATTCATTTGGATAATTCATTGAAACCTATGATTTTATGAATCATAATTTACCTTGTGTATCCAATCACTCCCTAACTTTAAAATACCTATTCAGAATACTTCACTCCGTAATAACGCGTCAGACTACTTGCCTGAGTCATTGAAAATGGAATCTAAATTCAAATCTTTTACTCATTGTTTAGCTCACACGTTGAAGGTGCACTGTATGATCTACAACAGGATATATTCTACTGTTGACGTATTTATATAATTAGAGAGTTTTATAATTTATTGTCAAATAAACAACCATTCATTTATCTATATGTAACTTGTTAATATTCCGTGCTGTAATCATAGTGCCATACAACCTAGTTTACATTATGAGGAGCAGTCTTCATTGAATAAACCTACAAGGCAAAAGTGTTCGATTCTGTTTAAATGTTAATTCACGTTTTAAAAAACCATTCTGATCTACAAAACCTACGGCTTTATTTCGCGAAGATAGTTTTTAAATTTTTGGAAAATACCTTGGTTTCGTCTACTTCAACAGTTGGAACAGAAATAAATACCTAAAATAGCTGGTATGAAAGCCAAGACTATTAAGTAACAGGATAGGTTTTACACCCAATAAAACAGTATACTTATATTTCATTAGAAATCGACGAAGTAGTGTTCTTGAAGATGAATTTTTTTAACCCGATCTTTTCAACTAATACAGATTCCCAATAAGTCTCAAACATCTCTCCCTCTGAACAGTTACATAATACTTCCTTACATTTTATTTATTGCATTGTAACGAATATTTTTTAATTTAAAAATACTTTTCAAGTGATTACAACTCATTGTCATCGGAGAACCCTCTACAAAATTGTCGCCTGGCATTCGATGTGGCTTCTAAATTGGGAGTACCCCGTGTACTTGATCCAAGTGAAGTAGTTTCTAAAAGTCGTTCACCTGATTTGCTCAGTATGATGACATACCTCCATCAAATCCGTACATTTTGCTGTGAACGAACAAAAAATAATGATGAGAACTCTCCATGTACAAATGATAACTTAGTATTAAATGGGATCTTTGAACAATGTATCAAAACCAACAAGTCTGTTTCTGTTGTAAAGAGTTCAGTTTTCGGTTTATATATATATCTTCAGTTTAAAAGTTATTTAAATTATTACATTTTCCAAATGTTTAGTATTTTAGTCAGTATCAATACATAAATGGATCATCTGAGAGGATTTATGGGTTTGTGATCACCATTGTTGTTTTTTGAACAAATCTTTCGGTAGTCAAATGTGTAATGCAGTACTACAAAACTTTTTTGATAAGCCGTAAATGGTCAAGAATATGAAGTGTATAAATTGCAGATTTTTAAACATGTGCTAGTCAGTCAGTCATGTGCAACTTTGAACCTGGCATATATTCGCATCAGTTCAAATTATAATGCAGCATTAGCACAGAGAAATGCAATTAACAAGTGAAGTCTCGGAATAGTATAGATAGTAACGTTATGATTAGTAGCGGGAATGATTAGATATAAAAGAAGATAGTGTTTCCACGCTTGGGATCTGAAAGACAACAAAGAGTGAAATGGTTTATGCCACTGTGACCGATTCTGATCGTTGTCACCCATTGTTTTTAACTAAAGGTTACGATAACTTCATAGACCCCAAGCAAAGTGATTTGACTTGCTTATCTTGCTCAGTCTAATGTGTCTCGACCACCTTAGTTGATGAAGATTCACTATTTCATCAACCAGTCTGTCATTTTTATCTAACATCCTATGTCTGTTCTTAGCACTACCCACTCGATCTTCCCGACATAGAAGACCAGTGCTTCGATGACATATCCAACTAAATACTGTCAATTTACAAATAATCATTATTCTTAATAGTTGTTCTTTGCAGCCATAAAGTGGAACAGAGTAAATTGATTTTTAGTAAACTCTTTGATTTGCAAATGGATGTGTAATATCCTTTTTATCCGCAGATGTCATATGATAAGTCTTTTTCTCTCATCCTATTTCAATGCTGAATATCTTTCTGACATAATTTCAAGTGTTCAGAGTCAATTGGTTGCAATAGAGGAGTGACCTTATAGCATGTATTCATGCACATACGAGGCATTTTTATTTTTAAACTTCTACATGAAATATCTAGTACTGCGCGTAAAAACTGTTAATGTACACGTTTCATGCAATTGACTTTATGAATTTTATATAGTTGTAAACAGCAGGTGCGAAACCACGATTGAATGTATATTATTATACCTCGATTGTTGTTCTGGTTTTATTTAGACAAGGTGCTTATTTCCCTATATGATCATTATATATATTTATTACATATTACATATTCACCATTTTTTTCTTTACTTCGCCTATTTTAGCTCAGAAACGAATCATAGTTTGCAGAAAATTGAAAATCCGCCGGACGAAAACTCAAACAATGCTAAAAATAATTTAACTAATCCAGATAAAGCTGTTAGATCAACACCTAAAAAGGTAGTTTCGTACAAATTTGTGTTTCATTACCTGTCGTTTATCATTATTTTTTTTAAAATTAATGTTTCCACACCTAAAACTAGTTTAATAAGAACATAGATGTATCGGGTGTAGTTCTTGATATTATTTCTGTTTGATTGCTGTATTTATGTGTCAGTATTTGGTACTGTAGGCAACTGCCTAATCGGTAAACGGACAAGTAACCAACAACATTTTTGTTATTATCATTAACTTGATTTGTGTGACTATGCTGATTACATAGTGAGCAAGGTTCTCTCACAGTTCTAGGTTCCAATGGTTAGTGTGACCTAACTTTCTGAAGATGACGAGTGATTATTATGATGACGGACCACCGGTGAACTCGAGGAAGCTGTAAAAGGCTCAGAAGGAGCCGAAGACGTCCCATCCAATCACCTTTCCGAAGAATGTTCTAGAATTCCAACATGTAGCTTCCCGATTGGATAATGCTAATAACCCTCTGTATGCGGACTGGAAGACTGTAATGATGATTTCGTTCTCACTAAAAACTATAAATACCTGACAATTTTGTACTATGATTGACACTGTTGTTAGTCTTCTGTCTTCTTACTGCGACTTGGAAGGGTTTTGGTGTTCTAGTGCTCAGTTATTCGCGGTATACCGAAAAAACAGCTTTTTCAAGATATAACAATTATCATATTGAAATTAGAAAACTACTTTCTTCATGACTTAGTTTTTATGTACTGCTTATGAATAATGCATAATCATATAACCTGGTTTGTAGTTATTAACGGCTCATAATTAAAAGAATATCAAAACTATGATGAAAAAAATGAATTACAATTTAAATGGCTTATTCGTTACGTGATCTATGAAACCCTGACGAATTTTTAGCGTCGATTCAAACCATCACTCTTACCTTTCTCATTATGTAAATATCAATTCACTAAATAATGACAGCCGGAAAAAATGTAAACGTTTACGAAACGGAATAGACACACGTATTATATATCAGAATATCATATTGTTTTCATTCGGTCTTTTAGACACACTTCCAGAACGATTTTGAATAGTTACTTGTATTTTATTAGTATCCTTATTTAAACAATTTTTAAAACATACCAATCACATATAATTGTTTTTTTTTTAAATTGTGGCTTGATATATATATTCAATACCGCCTAATGATTAAATCATCCATATTTACTTGGTTTTGAAGTTAATGTATTTATGTTTGAGTTTTTTTTTATGAAAAGACTGTTTACAATCTAATTTCGATACATCCTATCATTGTCAATTTTATATCTTAGAAAACACTTGTCATAGCCTTTTGCCGCTTAAAATATGAGTTTCGTATGTCCAATGTGAATAAATTGATTTTGATACTATTCAACTTGAGTTTGTTTATTGATAATAAACGTTATAGTTCAAATGGTTATTTGTTAAAATACATGTGCAAATGATCATAGTAAAACATATTTAAACTATTATGATAGAACAACAATTAAAGTATGACTAGAAAATTCTTCAGACTTATAAGAGTAATGACTATTAAATGTCAACTATCTCTCACAAAGACGAGATAGTTGTATACTCTAAGTCCAGATGTTGGGCAGAATATTTCAAAGGACTTTATCCGATTTCGAGTTACCACTATTTACAAATAACCTGAATAAAGGTTGATATTAGCTCCCCAATCCATCACTTGATGAGTTTGAAAAGGCTATATTAATGCTATTTAAGTACTGTAGGACCTGATAGACTAGTTCAGAAATTCCTTAAAGATGATGATTCAGTTTTGGCAGTTGTACTGCTTGCGATATTGACTGGAGTCTGATAACCGGGCATGATCTTAATTAACTGATGTCAATCTCTGCAAGGAATAACCTAGATTCTTTTGTGATACCTACTGATGACACACTGACTAATACTATTTTTTAATACACTGACCTTCGTAATCACTGTACACTTAATTAAGGCTTGGGGAAAGTATTTATTTATTTATTTTAAATGTCGACGTAAATATTTTGATCAAATATTCACTCTCCCTAAAGTTTTAGAATATAGGTTTATCTACTAACTCGCTATCATAGCTGTATATCTCGATTTTAAAGTGACAGTCGACTCGGTAGATTTTTGTTGACAGGCGTACCAATGAAGTACACAAATCTCGTGAGCGTTCTCTACTTATGCACTACTGATCGAATCTTAGTTTATTATGTCTTGTCATGGATTTCAAGCTAGATTGATGTGATTCAGCGTTGCCCACTTTACTCTTTCCTACTTAAATTTTTTATTGATGTCTTCTTAGGATTATACTTATTTCATCTAACTTTTAAGGGATTGATCTCCATTCTAAAAAGTTACTAGCGGTCTGAGATTATGTGGATTATAGATTCTGTGCTTGATTCGATGTTGCTTATCACTGACTGACTGCAGTTTCTATATGAATGTGTATAAGTTGTCTAATGATCTTTTCTTATTTTCTATCTTATCTGTGCCTTGGCAATTACTTTCCTGATTTTCTTTTCGCAAGATTTCTTTTACCTTATGCAGTGTTTGGGAATCAATAAATTGGATTATTTAGAATATTTACATAGATTTTACTTCATGTCAATAAAGCGAGGTTCAAAACTAATTCATCATTTTACTTAGACATTCTTCAGGTAGATAGATAACTTTACATATCAATATATTGCTGTGCAAAGGTAAAGTAACTTAGACTTATAATATCACAATTAACAAATAAATTGAAAATCATTTTCCCGTGGAAAATTTAGTATATGTACGTTTGTGATAAATATCATGAAAGTAAATAAACTGAGTATTTAGTTATTAATTATACGATTATATGTAGGTAAGGTTTTGTCTTCCAATGATTAAGAAATTAAAGCCTTGGAAAGTGTTTCAGTTCGACCGATAAATTTTAGTGCTTCATTCATCAATCTACCTTTTCCAATTTTTCATTGTGCTTTCAATCATGTATGAATGAAAACTTGTTGGGAAGTACTTTCTATTGTCTATGGCATTTACGTATCAAAACTGTGTGTTTCTACACACAAATTTTTTTATTTATAATTGAATACAATGCTAATAACTCTGTACTTTACTAATTTTTGAAAAATACTCTATCCACTCTCTTTTACTATTTTTTTCCAAGAAAATTCCTTTAATGAATTATGAACATATGTTGGCTAAAGCACGTAGTCTCTTGCAGCAATCACGTCTAAATTACTTAGCACCAACAAGTCGACCTGGTGCTTTACCGCCTTTAGCGCATCCTCGTAAACCACATCCTATATCTGGTTCATTGACAGCAATTCATTCAGTAGATGAAAATTTTAACCGAAATCCAGTGACAGAAGAAAGTTTAACGAATATTACATTAACTGATGGACAAAATCATCGATTGACTGATACAAAGTTATGTACAAGTAAGGTTTAGTTTATGTTAAATAATTTTTCTTGTTCTTCTATAGTGTCTCACGTTTATCATGTACACGTTTCTGTACTTGACTTTCAGTTACTCTTGTTGTGTGAGGGGCTGTCATTATTTGATCAAGTAAACGAAAAATTATAACAAAACAAGTTTCAGACTTGAGTGTTGAATTTTTCAACACCCAAATCATACGTAAATATATGTGTTTTTTTAGGTAAATATATTTTTTAAAGTTGGATTCAAATGGCTCACTATGTATGTGAAATTCTAATAAATTATTGAAAGGACCCAGCATACATATATTTGAAATATTGTGCTCTTTTAGACACATCAATGTTCTTTTAAATATATAGTCCAAGTAAACTAGCTATATTTCTGGTCGGTTCATGACTCCAAGTCTTGTAACAAAGTTTAGCCTATTTATTCATGCTCGTCCTATCAATCTGTTGAAATTATTAAGTATTTACTTCTCAAGAAATAGACATAGCATATATGATAATATCTATATATGGTACTGAATTGCATTGTTTTCAAGCATCTTAATGATGAATCATCAGTGACTTCAGTGTACACACATCTTATATGTGTACGTTTAATCATTTTCATTACAGATTCTTCAGCTGATAAGTATTCTCAATTATAATTGACTTCATTTCATATTATTTAATTATATATTTTTTCCTTTGATTTAATCAACTCTAAAGATATTCAGCTCTGCTAAAGATTTAAAAAATACTCCATAATGTAGTCGATGTATTCATTCATGAAGTTTCGGTAATGAATACAAACTTCTCAATTGTTACTATTTTTTACCTTTATTGTTTACGTTACTCAACTGTAGGTATTTGTAACTTTATACAATATCATATTGAAAATAGTGGAAAATGCTTTATTTTTATAATACTATTGTTTAAACTTTATTTTCTTTGCGTGTAATATAAATTCACAAACGTTTTTAGACTGAAACAATTTATTGTTTTGATTCCTTAAACGAATAGTAAATTTATGTTTGTAACAAACTTCATTTAGTTAGTTCTAACTTCTTCATATATCAGTCTGTTTCGTCGAAATTAAGTTAGATACACACTAGTTATTTACTTACACCTGTTACGCCTCATGGAGGAACATGGGCCACTGACTAGCATTCTGCATTGAACTCTGTCCTGGGCGATCCTTTCCAGTTATTATTCATTCTTTTGATATCTCTTTACAATTTTCGATGCAGTGTATTCCTTTGTCCTCTTCTATTCCTATTCCCTTCATGATTCCATGTTAGCGCTTGCCTCGTGATGCAGTTTGATGATTTCCTCAATGTATATCCTATCCATTTCCAGAGTCTTTTCCTAATTTCCTCCTCATCTGGAAGCCGGTATGTTCTCTACCATAGTAGGCTGTTGCTGGTAGTATCCGGCCAACGAACATTGAGTATCTTACGTAGACACTTGTTTATAAATGATTGTATCATTTTGATGATAGTTATCGGAGTTCTCCGAGTTTCAGCTCTATACAGTAGAACTTTCTCGACGTTCGTATTGAAGATTGTTACTTTGACATTGGTTGACAGCTGTTTTGAGTTCCATGTGTTCTTCAACTGTAGGAAAGCTTCCCTTGTTTTGCCGATCATTGCTTTTACGTCTGTATCCGATCCTCCTCGTCCGTCGATGGTGGTGTCCAGATACATGAAGGCTTCCACCTGTTCCAGGCTTCTCAATCAAATGTGAGCTAGATACACATTAGTACACAAATACAAAAAAACTATACATACTTTGTTTATTATTAGTAGTTAGTTTTAAGAGATAATAATAATAATAATAACAAGCTCAAATGTGTATTTCTTACAGAAATTAGTTTATAATAACAAAATAATGTCCATCTACTCAAAGAAATCAACACCAATTATCCCCAATAAATTTTTATAGTTTCATAATTGTTTTATTATAAAAAGTTGTTTGAATTTATTGTTTGTTTTTTATTACTTAAAAAAATTAAATATCTCACTTAGTTCTTACTACCTTCTAATAATAATGTTTAACACTTTTTTTTCCTTTTTTCATGCACCAATTTTCGTTTTATCATATTAATCTATATCTATGTCCATCTATCTATCTATATATCTATGGCTATGCGCACGTATTACCTACTGAACTAACTACTATCATATATCTACTTATTTTCATTGAAATTACACTGCACTTATATTAAATTGATGTGAATGCTATTCGTTTATTTCTTCATTCAACAATATTGCTTTGGTTGCATAATTTTCTTGATGTCTATACTATGACTGAATGCATTCGCCTATATATATATATATGCTTATGTTAATGCCTATTGTCTGCCTTGCATATTTGATAATGTTCATTGGTTTGTATGTAAAAAAATACATTCCTATTATTATTTATATATAATTTTGTTTGGCTAAATAAAATATTATTTTGGAATAATCGAATAAACGCATTTTTATTTATTTAGAACATCGAAAATCCCATAAAACTCTGTACAGATTTAATTCAGATGGTAGTTTTAATTTGTTTAAATTCGCTTTTTTTTATTGAAAATTGAATAATGAAAAAAAACCATTTTATTGACATCAATTAAATGTTTGTTTGTTTTAAATAGTAATCTAATACAGACAGATTTAAATGTAGATGACCATTTTGTAATTTTACAGTAATAAGTTCAAAAATACAAATTATCGGTTATTATATTTTAATCTATTAGCATAATATACATATAATTAATATAAAATTTAATAGTACATTGTTATTTCATTCTAGTAATGATCTGAAAATATTATCATGAACTTGATATAGATAAACTGGATTCATGTAGATAGAAATTTATCATTACCAGTGTTCATGTCATTGTTGAATATAGTTCTTAGAATATTGGTTATAACCATTTATAGCTTATCGAATGTTTTTGATTATGTTGTGTTCTGAATTGGGCGATCTATTTATAAAATTTTCATTGTTATTTTGATTAATTTAAGCACTTTTAAATTTAAGATTTAAAATTTCTGTCTACTACCAATTGAGTAGTTAATCTTCATGACTATGTTGATGATTGATTTTCTCTGGGTGGTTATTTTTTTTTGGACAGACCTCTTACTGAGTAACCTTTTTTCTGTATCGACATGTGTCAGTACAGTAAGGAATTGGTTGCAGATTGATCTAATCACCTCATTTCCGGCTATTCTGGCATTTTCTTAACTAAGTGCGTATCTACAATCGCTTACAACCATTCATATAAGTGCAAATATATTGCATTCTTTCTGTACTCTGTTCATGTATCTTTATTTAAACGTAGAGTCTACCCTCTCAAATAAAGTGCTTTTCATACTTGGTACAATTAATTTTTTCGACGGTCTTGCGTTTGTCTTCTTTCGCTGTCATACACCAGTTAAACCTCGTTGGTTAACATCTTACAACACATTCCATATTTGCTTCTCAAATGTTTTAACCGATCAAAGGAACTCTAACTCAAATACATCCATCAGGACTAATCGCAGAAGCTATGGTGGTATAACTAGATGCTGAAGTCTCACCAACAATAAAACCTTAAGTTTTGGGAATACTATATAGATGATGCGTTTGTTGTCATTGAGATACGAACTCAAAAATTCTCCTTGATTGATCATTAGCATTTTCAGTCAATAGAAAACAGTTAAACCACAAAATTCTATTGTTGTGTGTCCTGATTTTATCCAACGAAACAAACAAAAATGTTATAAACATTATCACACAAGAAGCCAATTCTCACAAATCAGTGGAAGCTCAACAATAAAAATAATAGCGTACAAACACTTGTAAGAAGAGCTAGAACACACTTCAGAGCTCAGCGAAAAAAGTCAAACTCTTCATTCTGTATAATGGCTCCTCTCGCAAATTCATCAGGTGTTTGGCAAATCGATATACCATCACAAATTCACACAGGTGTTTATAATAAGAACAAATGATCACAAGGTTATTGAAACCCGTCGGAATAGATGTCACACTAATGCCAATATGATCGCGTCATTCTTTCTTGCGAAGACTGAACGATATATTTCATACGTCTTAGCCGAAAATGCCTTGTGTCTTTATAAATATTACCTTCATCTGTTACTGTTTTGATATTTTTTAGCTTTGTTCCTTTAGTTTTTAGGCTGTGTTAACTAAAATAATTTTTCAGCTTGAAGCATGGAATCACATTTACAAGATTGTGAGGTTACTAGGAACTATAGCATCGTTCCAGTAGTGTTATTAGATGGATGTCGGTTTCTAGTGTGAGCTCTTTTTATTTAGCTCAAATCTCAGTTCTCAAACATTAGACAGCACCCTAATACCATAACCCGAGATATTTTCATTGTTCATCTTTAAACGTATAGCGTTACCAGATTTTCTGAATATTCATATCATATTACTTTTTCTGCCTGTCGTCCTTTTACTTTTGCTATGCTAGTATACACAGTAGTAACATGAATGTGTCACGTGATGAGTCGCAGATTGAATTGCAAATAATTTCTCAGTTCGTTGTAGTGTTGATTAAAATGCTTCTTTTCAAGATGTAAACGATTATTTGTCTTAGTTTGAGCTTGTTTGCAAGTGCTCTTTTTAGTCTGTAAATATTCATATCAATATTTCCTGTTTATCGGTAATTTAGGATCGATTTTATCTCCTCGAATCACGTATACATTAAGTAGTTTAGTATATTTTGCATATAACAAATAATGGTACTCAGCAATCGTGTACAAAGTCATCCGCCAATGGTATATACTGTTTGGTTACTAAATTCTCGGTACAGTGCAGTTACAAATTCTTATTAACTAATTGAATGTTGATTGCCCTACCGAATAAACCAGAGCTTTATTCAGCTGAGTATATTTGACTTGATTATTTGATCTTTTTTCATCCACTTTACACATTAAATAAGGGATGTGGGTTTTCTGTAATTCAGGTTCGTGTTTATTGTTATCACGAATAACTGAATAGTTTTGGTTGCATGAGGTTATTGATGCTCACTTCCTTTATTAGATCAAAAAAGTAACGTTTTGTTTGAACAAAATAATACTGATTTATTGGTCTTCTTGTGTATATGCTTAAAGACTAATGCTCTACAATAAAGTTTCGCTAATCTTCATATGCAACTAATAAGAAGGGGGAAAATCATAAGTGTAGCAGTCAGATGTATACAGTTTTAGTCAACACAAGCTAATTACCTTTATAAGCGGTTTTTAAGCTTATTTAAATTTTTGTTACAAACCAACACCCAGTGAGAACCGTCGACATCTAGTTACCTCATTTCAGAACTAGGTAAAGTTGGTTACCAATGGCCTCATACAACAAATTAACCAGTGCCTTTGGGTCTCGCCATGAGCCCAGCTGGGCTACACTCGAGATCCACTAACCAAGAATTATCCAATTTGTGGAATGACTCAAACCCCGTAGTGTAGCGTGTAAAGTTATTTGGGAACTGCTCTGTGTTGTTCCATTTCTGAATCTAGTTTTGAGAGAAGTTAGATCACATTTGTAACTATTAATTAATGCAAACTGCTGTGTTTCATCCTAATCATACATTATAGTGTTTCCTAACAAAATACCCAGCTACCTGATTCTAAATGCTTATCATCCATAATCTCAAGTTTAGTTACTAAGTTCTTAGTGAATTAGTTTCAAATTATGGATATACTATACATAAACGTCCACAAATACGAATATTTTATTATAATGCACTTATTTATGTCAGCTTATTATCCTACTTCATAGTTGCTTATACTTGTACCCGTTCTTTAGCTTGTTTTCATGAACCACATATATTACTGGATAAACATATGATTTAGTCTGTTTATACCTCCAATTTACAGGCACAATATGTATACCGAATGTTGATACCTCATTAAATTCCATTTCTAAGCCATTTCGATTTTCAACGAGTAATATTTTTCCAACACTTAGTAAACCACCACAGTCAACTGTTGACACAAGGTTTTCTCCGGAACAAATGAAAGTTAGACGTCTACGTCTGTCACAAATGAATCTCTTTGCGTCGGGTCGAGGTAGTGGTGCACCAGTACCTATACGTATTGGTGAACATCATTTGGATAATAAAATGGATAACCGAACTCAAGTCTCCACTTCTGTAAGTTGAAATATTTAAATTAATTATTTTATTGCGAAAAACGAATGCAATCGAGAACTACTTATTTTGAATTAGTGTTTCATATTTTTCAAGTGGCTCTAGTACTGGTTATGATGACCGAAGTAGGAGCGAAGTCGTTCGTACACATTTTTACCTAGAAATTCAGTTTGTTAGCTTTGTCGATAGAAAAAAACGTACGATAAGTAATTAGCTTTTGCTTGATCATAAAGCATAGTGTTAAGCTAATTGGTGACGGAATTCCCGAAATGTTCGCTTATGTAACTAGTTTCACAGGAGCAGTTTAATTGAAGAAGTTTGTCATTATTTTTGGTTTTTAGGATAAAATCTTTTCAGAATAAAGCATACGGTTTGTTTTTCTGCGGAGCTTTTCTTATTATCAGTATTATTTCATTAGTAGTTTCGTCTATAAACTCTAGTTTTAGGGGCAAGGTGTTCTAATTTCCTCTTTATAATTTAATTTTCATTTACAACTTAAATTTTTAGACTCATTTCCGATCGAGACTAGGAGGTAGTGACTAGTGTTTTGTTTCTGAATGTTGGCTGGATTCTCTTTAGTAGTTTCAGTATAAAGATGAGAGTTTACTTACACTTGCAGAGTTTTTTGTCATGTTTTAGTTCGTGTATCAGCCAACAAAAATTTAAAATATGCGTCACTTCTTTTTCAATGACATGAATCTCTCAGTACTGATGTATTCTACTTTTTGATCGTAAACCATTAACATATTTTTATTTACATTTTTATAACGACATCGTATTTTAGATTTTTATGTAGAATTATTTTAGGAATATTGTCAGGATATTTTCATTCACGTCGTTGAGGACACACGTTTTATTCCTCGCACACTGGTTAGAAAATCCCCATCAGCAATGAGTTCTTCACTTATCGAAGTTAATGACTTACTGTTACTATTATTTTCTACAATATCATATAAATATTATGTTTATTAGATATACACTATTGTCATCTTTAATTTTTTTATACTTCACTTTTATTAAATCCTTCGGTGAACAAACATTTGTGGAACTCGTTTTATTCACTAAGATCAAAAATCAAGGTTAGTTACATAGAAAGTGTATATTTTGATAAACTATGATTAAAATGTAAACAAAAAACATCCATTATGTATAACTGAAGCTAATTCACAACACTCCTTTATAAATGAACTATTAATTCTACGAGTGTAATTGTTTCTTTAGTAAGAAATATCAAATATTGCAGTATTGTGTCGTCTATGATTTAATTATTAGAGCTGGATCCGATTGGTTAGTCACAAACTCAAACTCATGGTTCTGATCAAATTCGTGTCAAGAAGAGTGAAATTAATGACTCAGATTTGACATTAAACAAATTCTACGCTGTTTTTTTCAAATCATGAATACAATTTCAGTACATTTTGATATATTTTACCATGTCCACAAACATGGATTGGTTTTCGGTTTATGCTAGTTTCGTAAAGCCTATTATGTAACAACTTTAGTTAATTACATTGCTTCGTGACCTTCGAGTGTTGTTTAGCTACAAATCTAAATTTGTATACTACATTGTTATTTATATTGGTGTCTGCAAATTTTTATTTGGCTCTTTGCAATTCACAAAGTAGGTACTTCTTGTCGGAACGTTATTAAAAGTAGCTATGGGACTTCTCTACTATTAATTACAATTATTTCACAATAAGATTGGCCAACTAATTTACCTACTGTCAAAAACGGTTTTATAATAAATAACTGTTCAGTCGTTTAACAGCGTAATTAGTACGGCGTAACGGTTGTTTACTTTTACTTATGTTGAAGTATAAGAACCGAATACTGAAAACAATTTTTTTAAGATAAAAGTATTATGATGAAGAACTCGTTGCCGATGAAAGATGTTCATCGCTAGTTTACAAATTAAATCTATCTAAAAATCTCGGATGTATGAGAATCTTGTTTATGTGAATAGACTTGTTTTGAGCAAAAGACTGATTTCTTTCCTAAACCAGAATTGTTTATTCTACTAATCTATGAGAACTAGTTATATCCATTCATTATATTGATTTACAATATCTTCATCTTCTATAGGCACTTTAGTCAATAACAGTTCGTCTAATGCACTTCTCTCCGTTTCGAATTATATCAGCAATGAGCAGGCTGAATTAGAAGAGGCACAAAAGAAGTTAGATAAAGAAGCAGCTGTACTAGAGCAGCGTTTACGCCAACAAATGGCATACGAGCCAGGCACCGCATTAGAAGAAGAATTGTTAAGACGATGGTTTATTTTAGTCAATAAGAAGAATGCCCTAATTCATCGGGGCTTCCAGTTGTCTATAATGTAAGGCCGTTTATCCTTTTATCCGTATTATAAGTGTGATATTCTTTATTACTAATGGATATTTCAATCTATATGTTATCTAAATAAATACGTTATTAACTCAACTTATACAATGACAATTATTTCAACGGCCTTGCTTCTATTTTATCAGATTGTTGCGATAACATAGAGTTCGGAAAATCAAACAGATTTATTGGATACTTCTAAGAGTCGTCCTCTCTTAGATTAAAGCAGTATTAGGGTATATTTTGTTGAGATATTTTAAATCAGACTACATTAAAGACAGAAGCCTGTAAAATAGAATAAAGAAGAGAATAGCGTACATTCAAATAAATCCAGTAGGTTGCCAAAAAGTCGTTTTCCTTTTAAGCTCACTACCATTTATTCCATTGTAATTTGTCCAGCTTCTTCTGCGAAATTGGAGCAGTCAAAAGTTGCCAAATGAGATCACCTTTTTCCAGTCAGGTGCAAGTTATTGATCAATAAATGGTTTTATTCTCTAAGGAGTAGATAAATGTATGAATTAGTGATCATAGATGTGTACCGGTTTAGCCCGTTGAACTTTCTTTACTCGTAGTTTTCTCACTGGTAGCCACCTAGACTTGCGTATGAGAAGTTTTTTTATCAGTATCAGACTCCAACATTACTCGTCATAACATCTTATCTAAAAATTAAGGTAGATAAACTTTCTTCGAAGCGCTTTGTAATCCAATTAAATTTTTGAAACTAATTATTTTGTATTTAAACCATCCCATTTACCCTGATCCTTTTTTGTGTTAGAACGTACGCGATAATCGTCACTTTTTTATTCTTAGTTGAGCCTGTCGTGATAATACAATGTTCCACCAAAATGTTATTATACCATTACATCAATAACAAATTGTTTATTTATTTCAGGGAGAAGGAAGATGATTTGAAAAAGAAAATGAAAATGTTGCAGGATGAATTACGATCGATTTTATCCGTTGAAGGTAAATTTAACTGGATATTACCACTGACACACAGACTAAGCTACTAAAATTAACCGGAAACAAGAGTGCCTTGAAGGATAACCATAAATAAGTGGTATATTTGTGTTATAACATAACGGTGCAATCACTTACCTTTCCAACAAATTATAAAGTGCTAGACATACTATTTTTCGTGATTTCAGTTCTTAATTTTGCGTCCAAAAACTTAACTTCCCCATCCTCTAGTGATCTTTGCTTTTCCCTGTGTGGTTGTCTTTGAGTTTGTTCTTTTTTTATATTTATTAACAGACTACACATATAAACAGTGTTCCCCATAATTTAGCATTTTGCGGCGACAATAAATTTTTCTTCGAAATGAACATGTATTACGGGCAGTCAGGTGTAATGCTTGATATTGCATATTTCTAGCTTATAATAGACTCGTCCGATTCATATGTTTAGTGAACATTTGTCACCTCAAGAAGGTAAGTAGCTTTGAGCTTCAAACGCTCTGCGTCTTACGCGATTTTTTTTCTGTCTGTATGAAGTTGGTTGCTAAAATGAAGGAAGAACAACTTATTTCTCATGACAAAAACCGATTAGTATTTATCCCTGAATTTTTGTAGGCTTAGATAAAACTACATCACTTTTATGTATCGTTACATTTGCTTATCTGGGTCTCGAAAAATCTAGTTAAGTGTCTTACTTTATCCTATAAATGTGAGAAATGAACTCGCAACACCTGGAGATTACGACAACAAAAGCGTTGCCACAAGTTTATGGGCATAAAGTATTTGTTAGCTTAGGCGTTAAGTTCATCATTCAAGCATTCGGGAGTCACGTAGTATCATTAATCACAAAAAAAGGTCTGTGTACAAATGTATTTTTTTACCGAGTCACATTCAGTTATTAAGCCTCTTTAATGCAACGTGTGTAATTTGTGATTTCATTAAAATCTCATACTAATCGGTAAAACTTTTCTCGAAATAAAATAGATTATTTGAAAACAGATAATGATAGAAGACGAGAAGATCTTCTTTTACAAGATCTTGTACGATTGGTCAATGAACGTGATGACATCATTCAGGAATTGGATTTGCATGAGAAAGTGTAAGTTGTTTGTATTTTTAACACTTACGATTTTTGTAACTTAAAGATTAGCTGAAGAACTAGAACTGGAGCAAAATGCAGGTTATATGTCATATGGGAGGCGTAGAATCGACAAAAGTTGTGTACTACAATAATACTTAACTTATCCAGACAAGCGTGTACAATGGGCTGTGATTCATAATAGAAAATATGTTTCACTAACCACTTCTGTTCGGGATTTATTTACTCATTGATGTGTACATCGATTCCTTTTGAAAAAGAGTACTATTACAGTCTCTTTCAGCGCCATATTTCAATTACTGTCTCAGGCGATCACTTTTTCGTGTATTTTCCCCAGATGTCATTTAATCAGTCTTTTTCTGACTCCTGGAGTAAACAAATTGTGATGTTACTTTTCATTTTCTTGGGACTGCTTTGTGTTATGAAAAAGTTTCTTGTGTTGTTAACTTTTATTTCATATTTACTTAAAATATATCAAATTATTTCGAAAACAGAATGATTGTAACCTGTCTTATACTGTTTTAATTATCAATAATACGTTTCATGTATATGTAGTCATTATTATTGTATATTTCTCTTTTCTTTCTTGAGAGTCTATTATGGAGTTCAAATTGAGAATAATACAATTTTAAACCAAAGTGAAAAGTATGACTTCTCATCGGTTATCAAGGGTTTAGACGAACATGATACGCATGTCAATGATTCGTTTAATAGCACCCACTAGCAATTACCCGGATAATGAATGTTTCCCTTAGATTCAGCCCTTAACATTAAAAATTCATTTTGCATGCATATATATATACTGTTATATGCGAAAACAAATCTTTAAAATTATACATAAATTTCTGAAAGGCATCTCAGGCAAATCAGTTATCTGTTCTTCACTAGTAACTTTGCAGGATATTGCTCGGAACTTAAGTCTTTGATTGAAAACAAACGGCTAGCTCGTTCTTTCAACGTCCCTCCGCACTTTAAACCCCGAGCCATTAAGGTTGCTTTAAGAACATCTAAGCCGAACACTTCGAGGTTTTCAGCAGTATCTACTTCACGCAACTGTTGGTCAGTCAAAGGTTGTGCGGTTTCTTTTGTGGTATTTCTACAAGCACTTTGCGATTCTTTTTTATCTTCGACTGAAATTTGAAAAAAATGCATTACTATAGTTAAATTTTTTATTCATCAGTCGTTCAGAAACAACAGATTAACGACCTATATGATTAATAAATGCAAGGATTTTTACTTACTGTCATTGCTTCAAAACATATCAATGTACCTATTGTGTTTCGTTTTATTGACACTAAAAAATATGCTTATCGTTGTGCAACGAAAATCATCTTTTCATTGGCATTCTTGTTCGAACGTATTCCAATAGCTGATTCGTCATTGGACCTCACCTATTCATATAATCGTCTACATTTTTGTTTAAAATACATTTGCAGTAGAGCTAAAAAGTGGACTCATCATATGATAATAATTCGTAAGTTAGTCTGTTACTAACTTTCGAACATTTTGTATCAACTGTAGGTGGATTCCTTAAGTTAGGAAACATATAATATGACCAGAAAACATACAGATAAAAAATCGATGAGTCCAGCTTGATGAGAATGTGGTCGTAATCGCAGTTATAATTAACACACATTTGACCTGTTCGTAAACTGACAACAACTTTTCAATACGAAACCGCTATGAAAGACTATCGCGGCTAAAGCAGTTTATAACCTCTGTACTCATATATATAGTATTCCATGGTAAACAAGGACAATGGCTTATCAGTTTTCGAGGTTAAGGGATTGAAACCAATAAAGCTATCAAACAAGTCACATAGTGTGTAATAAAGTTGACAGTAGTACTTTAATTAACGTACGATTGTTTTTTCTAAATGTATTTAATATGAATAACCTTGAAGAACTTCGAACAACGTGGTAGAAACTATAACTGATTATGGTCTCATTTATACCAAGCTTTAGAATGATTATGATGGGAAAACAGAGCTGCTTGGTCTTCTATACGATAATAATTAGAGCGACTTCTAAACTTTCCAGTGGATACCGAGGTTACTTATTATCTTGCACGTTCAGTCGAGTGCACCAATGTATATTGAACTCTTCATAGTGAACAAGATACTAACTTACCGATTACATCTGATTTAATACTGTTAAGGATTTCTGTAGAATCCGTTTTGGCTTTGGTATCATCTTTTACGGGCAAATTATCATCTTGTTTTGCAAGACTAGAGGAAATGTCAAATGACGAGCTAGCCGAAAATTCTTCATCGCTAGAACCCGAAGACAGCTCTTTGTCCATTTCCTCAATCCATAATCGAGTACGCTTTGCATTCAGTTGCTTTTCAGAGGAAATTACAGGTTGGACTTCCGTTTGTTTCTTTTCTTTCTTAACATTTTCTATGGCTAAACTCAGTGTAATGAATTTTGTATCAAGCGACCTTACCTATATCTAATGCTCCCCGTAGTTCGTAAGCAATTTTACGTTTCTGTCGTTCATATTCACGATCTGAAAAACTATGTTCAGGTAAAAGACCCTGTTTTAATAGTTCTTGACGTTTTCGTCGTCTTTCAATATATTCCTCTGCTTTTTTACGTTCCCGTTCGTCAGCCGTAGCATACCATTCCTTTAATTTTTTTTCCAGGTTTACATCACGCATTCTCCTACCTGATAAGTCTCTGCACATTTCATGATTGGTTGTCTTCTCGATTTGACTCCCAATAGCCCGTAGCATAGATCCAAAACCCCCTTTACCACCGCGCAAACGATAGTGCACGTTCAACAAAGCACATTCAGGAATTTCTTCCATATTATTTACTATGCGCCCATTATATGTGTAATAAACATCGTCAGTATTACATGCATCATGTAACCAATCTGTATAAGTTATATATCTGGGAAACGGAGCACCATACAACGCCATCTGAAATGTCGAATTATTATTCATGTAAATCGTAAATCATAGAGATATACTGGAGCCAATATGTTTTAAAACGTAATCAAAGCTTCCTTGAAAACTTAAAAGGATAACATTAGAGTTCGAATCCTGCGAGTCGGAATAGTGGATACGCATTGCAGAACAGTCCCATACTTAGACAAAATGGCCGTCCAGTGCTTCCAGGTTTTCCATGGTGTTCTAGCTTCAATTGATTCGTGATCTCAACAATTGAAATTACTAAAGTCTCCACAAAATCCCCTTCTAAAAATTTATGAGCTAGATAAGCCGGGAGGGTGACTCTTGTCGAAATTCCCAGCACTACTGGTAGGGTGTTATATTATTCCACAGTTCTAGAGTTGGTCGTATCTCGTGTGTATTTCATGAAGACATTGAATACGAAGATCGAAATAAGATGAAAAGCTGTCAGACGTAGATAATGGTAACTTACACACAGGGAGGATGTACAAAACGATGTCGGAGTATGGAAGGTACATTAGTCTATCAAGATCCCAAAAGATTAGTCACATAAAAATTAAGTACCGAAATAAGTTATTGGGTACTGATATAGTTGAACTATCGCGTGGAAGAAGTGGAAATGAGCATATTTAAGTTAGGGTGTTGATCTTTTGTTAGGAGACCGATTTATTGACTTATAACGTGCAGATATAGTTTTTTGGTGAGAACGCTCACAAAATTTATACTTCTAATCGTACTGAGAAAAAATGCAAGCGTATTCATGAATGCGTTTCACTCGCTCCAAATTCGAAGTTTTGTTTCAGGACTGGTCTTCAGTCAGTCATGTACAACGTTATTCCAGGCACATATATGCATCGGTCCAAGTTGCCATACCCCATTAACACAACAAGGTGAACACCAAGTACATAGAAGCAGCTATTTTAATAGTAGTAATATATATATAAATAAAGATTGCATATGAGGATATGACATAGTTAGAAAAAATTAGTTTGTAGAAGAAAAGGTATAAAATAATTTTAATTTCCTAAGTGATTCAAATCTTCATGCCTACACTAATGGCAGTCAAATTCGTTGTCCATTTTACTTTTCAACGACAAAATCTGGGTAAAGATTTGGAAAACTCGGTTGCCTGCCCAATTTGCGACTTCTGTTAGATTTCCATCTGAGAACCAAAGAACGAGTATTTTATTCAGGAGTTCGCTCTGTTTACTTTATGGCTATGAAACGTGGTTTATGGAAATAGACGATATTTGAAGGTCGCTACTGTTCGACTATAAATACCCCTTAATCACTGCTGGTGTTACGTGGAACAACCAAAACCAACCCTGAACTACGGTATAAGATATTAGGCAAAAATTATAAATCGATCGGGGTTGTGAGTCCTCATTGATTGAGATGGTTAGAACACATAACGTATACTAAACCAACCTTTACTCTGATGCACGGTTACCTGATATGAAAGTGGGTTGAAGGAAAGCTAGGGGCACACCAACTCTTGATTTGAGTCACGCCCCCAAATGCCCTGGTACGACCGAGAGTGGGAAGAGTCCGCTCTCCCTTTCGAAATACTCTCACACGACCACGCGTGTACAGCCTCTGCCAGGGAAGTCCTACTCACTGCCTTCTCGCACCACGGGTGTTGTTTACGAAATTAAGAGGACGAAAAGCGAACGTCCGGCGCTTTACCCGGACCCCAAACCAATGGTGCACATGGGCCCCAGTATCCTGCGGGAACAAAGGGCGTATGAACCAATCGTTGGTCACCGGCTACCATGAGACTGCATCTAACGATGCTCCACTGCCTTGAAGGCTAGACCTTTAGGTCAAAGGCTCGGGGTGTGGCCCCCTAAGATAACCACCTGCTTCGGTTTGGGCACCCGGGCAGTATCACAGCCCACACACAAATATGATGAACTGCCTATAATTATGGAAACTACTTTACTTGCTTCAACTAACAATCAAATGATTCAAGTGATTATTATTACTTTTATTATTATTATTATCATTATTATTGTTATTATTTACCACATTATTCACCCTCTTTTATACTTATACAGTGGCTCGTCTTTGGCGGAAATTCGACTGTATCTAAACGTTCTCGAGTCACTGTCCGGTTGAAAATTGTACGTAACCACTGAATATGAGTACTGAAGCAGTTTTTCTGAAACCACGTGCACCATTCAAACTGGCTGCCTTCAACGTTCGCACACTTATGCAGGTTGGACAACAGATAGGGCTGGCTATGTCTTTGGAAAGTCTTAATATTGATGTCTGCCGTCTATCCGAGACCCGTATTCAAGACTCTGGTGAAGTACTACAAATTCGCTCTGCGTCTGTCTTTTCGAAAAGCTTGTTTTACGTGCGCTTATCCAGGGACCCTGTGGCATCTTCGTCTGGTCTTGCTGGCGTTGGTGTCGCACTAAGCGCTAGAGCTGAGGCAGCACTAGTCGATTGGATCCCCATAAACAGTCGGTTATGTGCTGTTAGATTAGAAAGTTCCATCAAAGTGAGAAGAAATCGGCGTGAGAAACGATGTCTTTTCGTCATCTCCGCCTATGCCCCGACAGATTGCAGCCCGGATGCAATCAAGGATGAATTCTACCACCAGTTATCTGTTCTTCTCCAGAAAGTGCGTTCGACAGATATTGTTGTACTAGCCGGAGACTTGAATGCTCAGGTCGGGCGTCTAGGCACAGAAGAGAGTCGTTTAGGTGGCCGATGGGGACTTATCGGTCGCAGGACAGATAACGGGGACCGTCTACTGCAACTGTGCACAGAACACAACCTTGTTCTGGCTAGCACTAACTCTCGGCACAGTCATCGCCGATGTGCCACCTGGCGTCCTCCCTCTGCGTTACGTAAGGAAATTGGGCAAAGCTTGCGTAAGGACCAAGGAGCCTGGTGGTCGAAGCGTGCTAATGAGTTGGAGGTAACAGCTGCGTCTGGTAACTACCGGAAGCTCTTCCAACTCATCCGAGACATTGGCAGCAAGAAGTCTGGTGTGAGCAAAACAATCTGCGAGGATGATGGAATGCCAATCACTAACATCCATCGACGTCTTGAACGATGGGCAGAATTTTTCGAAAGGCAGTTCAACTGGCCTGCTGCTCCGGCAACATCGGTCAGACTGTCCTGCCCTCCATGGTCGGTGACGACTGATCAACCAAATGAGGCGGAAGTTCGCAAGGAACTCCATCTCTTGAAACGTTACAAATCACCTGGCTCACATGACTTACCTCCGGCCCTTTTTAAAGATGTTGGTGACTTTCTGACTAAGGAATTGACGACGTTGTTTACAAAGGTTTGGGAACTAGAGAGTGTACCAACATTATGGAATGAGTCGATAGTTGTCCCTATCTTTGAAAAGGGTTCACGTCGTTCCTGTAACAACTATCGGGGGATACGTCTACTTCCGATTGCGTCCAAGCTATTGGCTTCCGTCACACTTCGTAGGTTGTTCAAAACCCGAGAAAGATTGACTCGCGAGGAGCAGGCTAGTTTTCGTTCTGGTTGAGGATGTATTGATCATATCTTCACCCTCCGCCAAATGCTAGAACACCGTCATAATTATCAAAGGCCAACAATCGTAGTGTTTCTTGACATCAGGGCTGCCTTCGACTCATCGGACAGGACTGTTCTCTGGGATTGTCTGTTGAAGAAGGGTGTGCCTGAGAAGTTTATTGACATCGTAGTGTTTCTTGACATCAGGGCTGCCTTCGACTCATCGGACAGAACTGTTCTCTGGGATTGTCTATTGAAGAAGGGTGTGCCTGAGAAGTTTATTGACATCCTAAAAGCCCTATATACAAACACCTCAGGCAGAGTGAGGGCATACAACCACCTCTCTCCATTGTTCCATTCGAGTAGTGGGGTTAGGCAGGGTTGCACAATCTCACCATTCCTCTTCAACTTTGCCATCGGTGACATTCTGGAAACAGCTCTGATGAATGTAAGTAATGGTGGTGTGGATCTGTTGCCTGGAGAAAGACTTCTCGACCTTGGGTATGCGGATGGTATTGTCTTACTGTGCGATAATGCCCAAGGCATGCAATCCGCACTTAATCAGTTGGGAATTAGTGTCCGTAGGTATGGTATGTGCTTTGCACCTTCGAAGTGCAAAGTACTTCTACAAGACTGGCAGGATTCTAATCCTGTACTCACCCTGGATGGTGATCAGATAGGAGTAGTCGAGAAGTTCATGTATCTAGGTAGCTGCATAAGTGCTAGTGGTGGTGGTGTGAGTGATGAGATCAATCCACGTATGGTGGAAGCCAGAGCGACTTATGCCAATCTGGGCCATCTTTGACGCCTTCGTGATGTTAGTCTGGCTGTAAAAGGTCGGTTCTACAACGCGTCGGTGAAAGCAGTTTTGCTCTATGCTTGTGAAACCTGGCCTCTCCGAGTTGAGGATGTTAGACGACTCTTTGTGTTCGATCATCGTCGTCTCCGAAGGATCGCTGGCATCCAGTGGCAACACCATGTCAGTAATGCAGAGGTTCGGTATCGTGTGTTCGGGCACAGAGATGATAATGCAATCGATGTCACCATCTTGAAACACCGACTTCGGTGACTTGGACATGTTCTACGAATGTCGTCCCAGAGAATTTCACGTCGTGCATTATTTGCCGACTCTGGGATTGGTTGCAAGACGTGGAGAGGTGGTCAGTGTATGACATGGTGTCGTGGCATAAAAGAAAGCTGCAAAGGACTGGCTTGTGTTGGTCCTTCACGACTCCCTGGTTGGGGTCCGAGAGATGGTGCTACACAGTGGCTAGAGACGTCATCAGATAGGGCTCAGAATAGAAGCCAGTGGCGATCCTGCTGTAACCTTCTTTTACTTTATTCATGAAAAGTAGTCGTTTCTCCCTCAACTGAAAGATCACTTCTGATTGTACCTTTCCATCCCCTCGTTATTACTATTATTATTACTACACTACCTTACACCAATCTCTTCGTTATTGTTCTCTTTTTTTCTTTTCGAACTCTCATTGTTTTGTGTGGCGCATATATATTGGCGCTCTCTTGCACCAATATTTATGCGTCCAAATAAAATAAATAAATAAGATAACGATCTGAGACACACTGATAAATGTAAATCATAAGGTTGTCAGTGATCAGTGGCCGAAAAGCTCAAAAGTGGTCTGAATAACCTAAACGTACCTATCCTAGATTTGAAGTTCAAGTATGCCCTTCATATATAACTTTTTATCGTGTCCCTAAACTGTTTTCTTATTATTTACTCTCTCATTATCACTGTTACAACACTCAAAGTCAGCTATAACTATCAAAAACAACATCAGTCTGAATGTTTTTAACGTACTGAATTCCTCATGCAAATTTATTTTGATAAAGTAATGGTATGATTGCTCATGATATTCTCAATCGGTTATTTGCCCATGTACAGGTGGTAAGCAGTAATATGGTTTGATATAAAGGAAAAGACAAGATTACAGATGACGAATTATTGAATTCCTAACAACCGATCCATCACAGTTCTAACCATTAATTTTACCACTGAACCAAAAACTATGTAGAGAGTGCACGAATTTACGCAACAAAAGCGTTCGAAGGGCTATTGATAACTAAATGTTCACCAACTCAAAAATGTACATGCTGGAACCTGTCGTAAAGTACATCAGCGCGTCGGAAAAAAAGTAAATCAGCATACATTCACACAAAAAACACTTTCATAGTTACCCATATTTGAAAATGTAGTTTCATGTTATTTATGGGTGGATTACAAGACCAATCAATACTAAATCATAGACGCTGAACAACACTATTTCCCAATTCTGGGAGAAAGTTTATACGCTTTGGTGAAATGATACCCAAACCGCAAAATAGAAAGATCGGGAAGATAAAGAAATCAAATTTCTATGACGAAAAACTGTTGTTTATGTTATAAAAACGTGTATAAATAAACCAGTGAAAATTTTCATGTGACCAAATTTTAAAAGAATTTCGTCGAGCCACTAACGATTTTAAGCCTGGTATCTAACTATGGAAATCATTTAGGCTGTAGTCATAACTGGAACTTCTGCAAAAAGAACGAGTTGTGAAATTGTTTGTTCCTTAGATGTCATAAAACCATTCTTGATCAGTATCCGATCTAATATTAGGTCGGATAATGAAATAAGCGGACTCGTGTTTGAAATTGAACAGCACACAAATCAGAAAACGGGAAAAAATATTGTGAGCTGAATTCCGGTAAATCAATTATAATCACTTACATTTGAAACGCAAAGTGATTAACTGTTAGGATGTAACGAAAGCCAAAGGGAAGCAAAGCGATGTAACGAATACACTCAGTGTTACCTCCACTTACGGTACATTATCCAATACTATTGTCACGAAAAATGTTTGAATGATTTTGAACGGAATAGAAGAAACTTGCGCTTAACAGACTTCCGTGTCTAGCAGCAGTGGATCGCTGATACCTTCAGGTAGAAACCTAGGTAATTTTATCGATTAAAGAAGAAAAGGATGACAAAACTGGTGTATATATATTGGTCGTCGCCAAATATACTCTTCCGATCTCCTCGCAAAAAAAATCATTGGTGAGACAGACCTGATCTGGTACACCTAATTGCAACTGTGAGTCTGTTCCTTTTTGGGATTTTTATATATCATTGCCTTATTTTTTTATTTTTTTTAAACATTGTGATTTTTTTGTTTCTTCCTGGATATATATATTTTTTCCCCTTGTTCATTATCGTACTTCATACTTCATCATGACTGAACAGACACACAAGGTACTCAAGCTTAAGACTTTGTCCCCGCCTTCGTTTCAACTGATGTCTTTCTGGCCCGACAACATCGAAGCCTGGTTTTGCTACACAGAAGCCGACTTCCACGAGCACGGCTTGTTCGACACACGTGCACAATTCCTCGCAGTATTCAAGGCACTACCGCGTGAATTCAACAGGTACGTAACACCTAGTATATTTACTAGTGATGTTCCCGATCCTTACGAAATCTTAAAACGCTCGATTCTTAAACGAGGAAACCTAACCGATCGACAAAGGTTAGATCAACTCTTCAATAACATCGACCTGCAACACGGTTCTGCGACGGACATGAGAGAGATTATAGGCCCAAGAACTTTCGACGAAGGTCTATTCAAACAACTCTTCTTGTCAAAACTTCCCCAACAGGTGCAAGCAGTTCTGGTCTCGTTCCAGAACAACGCCTTAGACGAGCTAGCAGCATCTGCCGACCGCATTTTAAAAATTACGAAACCTTCTACTACCGAGGTATTTTCAGTCAAAGAAAAACCTCAAACGACTCAGAATGACATAACCGAGTTATGTCATACACTCACGTGTTGTCCTAATCTTCGTACCGACCGTAAGAGATCGCACACTCCACGTAGAAGCATTTCACGTAAACGATCTGTCTCTAGACCACGAGAGACAGATAACCCCGACTAGTGTTGGTATCATAACCAGTATGGAAAGTTTTCCAGAAATTGCAGAAAACCCTGCAATTTTACCAACACAAAAACGACTTACTCGAAAAACAACTCGGGAAACTTCCAAGCCGGCACGCGTTAACGGCAACCTTAGCCGGCGAACATAGCCGTCTGTTATAAGTCACAGATGTGACAACGAGAGTTCGCTACCTCGTCGACACTGGCGCAGAAGTTAGCGTTCTCCCAGCAAATCCTAACGACCGACTCCATGAATCGACCCTAAACTTACAGGCGGCAAACGGCAAACCGATCGCTTCGTATGGCAAAAGGTACGTTTGCTTTAACGTGGGTTTACGCAAACCCATTCACCGGATCTTCGTTGTTGCAGATGTTTCTATGCCAATTATTGTTATGGACCTTCAACAACATCACAATCTGATCATCGATACGCGCAAACGGAGGCTAGTAGACGGAAACACTAATTTATCTGTTTGCGTAACTTCTTTTACTGGTTGCAAATTATCCCCAGTCACAATTAAACATATGATAGACCCACTCTAACAACCACTACTCGATAAGTACCCTGGGATACAACAAACTCAACCGAGATTACCGTGTGTAACCAGCAATGTTACACATCACATCACGACTACAGGACCACCTGTATTTTCTAAAGCACGACGATTAGCTCCCGAAAAGCCAAGGTTAGCGAAAAACGAGTTCGACCATATGATAGACTTAGGAATCATACGACCGTCAAGTAGCCCATATGCATCTCCGTTGCACATGGTCCCTAAAAAGGACAGCAACGATTGGCGTCCAACTGGTGACTATCGGCGATTGAACGCGAAAACCATTCCCGATCGTTACCCGTTGCCTCACATTCACGATTTGACAGCTACCTTGAAAGGTACAACTGTCTTTTCGAAAATCGGCTTGATTAAAGCGTATAACCAAATCCCTATGGCTACTGACGACATACCGAAAACAGCTATCATTACTCCTTTCGGGCTCTATGAATTTTTGCGAATGCCTTTCGGTCTAAGGAACGCTGCTCAGACATTCCAAAGATTCATAGACGACGTTTTTCGAGGTCTCAACTTCGTACACGCGTATGCTGACGACTGTCTAATCGCAAGTCCGGACAGAGAAACACATCTCAAGCATCTGGATCTTGTTTTCGATCGACTACAAAAACATGGCATTACTGTAAACGTTCAGAAATGCCAAATTAGAACCGACTCATTAGACTTTCTGAGACACACTATCGATGCTCAAGGTATCCGATCCCCTAGAACCAAAGTGGCGGCCATTCTGGATTACCCACAACCGACCACCGTCAAGCTATTACGTACGTTTAACGGCCTCGTAAGTTTCTATAGACGTTTCATACCAAAATGCGCATTACTTATGAAACCTCTGACCGACCAACCTCGTGTAAATGCGAAATCCGTTAATTCGGACGACACCGCACGAAAAGCATTCTCCACAGTTAAGGAACTGATTGCTAAAGCAACAATGCTCGCACATCAGGACACCCGAGCACCCATTAGCATCGCAGTAGACGCATCGGACTCGGCAATCGGTGGCGTCTTACAACAATGGGTTAACAATTCCTGGCAACCCTTGACATTTTTCTCTAGAAGGTTGCTAGACACTGAATCGAGGTACAGCACATTCGGTAGGGAACTCCTGGCTATGTATTGTGCTGTACGGCATTTCCAACACTATATCGAAGGCCGTGAATTCACTCTTTTCACGGACCATAAACCGCTCACTTTCTCGTTAAGCTCTCCTTCTGACAAGTACTCTCCTCGTGAGTCTCGACAACTAGGCTACATTTCTCAGTTTACTTCAGATATTCAACATATTTCTGGAGCAAACAATGTAGTTGCAGATGCATTATCTCGCATAACTTTCTTGAACTGTTTCCAAGGAATCGACCTTCTTAAACTCGCCCAGCTTCAAAAGTAGACACTGATCTTCAGCACAAGTTATCGTCTACAATCCTCAAACTACGCATCAAACAGATGGGAACAGGTAAGGAAACCTTACTTTGTGACACATCTACAGGTAGGGATCGCCCAATCGTGCCGAAACATTATCGACGCAATGTCTTCAACACTTTGCACAAACTTTCGCATCTACGTGTTCGTGAAACCATCAAGATTATAGCAGAACGGTTTTGCTGGCCTGGCATGAATAAAGAAGTGAGGCAGTGGGCACGCTCCTGTGTAAGCTGCCAAAAATCTAAGGTTATCAGACACAATAAATGTCCTTTAGGCTCATTTAAAACTCCCGATGCTCGTTTCGACCATGTTCATCTGGATTTGGTAGGACCTTTACCAGGTTCAAATGGATACTCTTACCTCTTAACCTGCGTAGACCGTTTCACGCGATGGCCAGAAGCAGTACCTATCAAGGACATCACTGCTGAAACAGTGGCTCGCGCCATCGTCGAACGATGGGTAACAAACTTCGGCTGCCCTTCAACCATCACTACAGATCGCGGACGTCAGTTTGAATCTGATCTTTTCCGTCGTCTGACCACACTTTTAGGAACCACTCGCTTCCGAACGACCGCCTACCATCCACAAGCAAACGGGTTGGTAGAACGTTTTCACCGACAACTGAAAGCTTCGCTATCAGCTGCAAACGTTTCACAGTGGACCGACGCTCTTCCACTCGTCTTACTAGGTATCCGCAATGCAGTGAAAGCTGACATTGGATACACTGCGGCTCAACTCGTTTATGGAACGACACTTCGACTTCCAGGAGAATTCGTGGATCCTTCGTCCTCTTCAATGAACATGGATCTAACCTCCTACACGGACAGGCTTACAAACGCAATGCGTTCAGTCAAACCTGCTTCCACTCGACCTCAATCAACTGATGTTTTCTTTCAACCTGACTTACGATATAGTACACACGTTTTCGTTCGCCGAGACTCGCATCGACGACCATTCGAATCAGCATACGAAGGGCCCTTCAAAGTTCTTCAACGTGTATCTAAGTACTATATAGTCGACAAGAACGGAACAAACGATAGCATCAGCATCGACCGCTTAAAGGCAGCGTATTTAGAAGGAAATCCTATTCACGTCGATTTTACTTCGGTACAATCGCACAACGCGACTCCTACACTCATAATTCTTCAACCGACAACCAACACTGGCGATGATACTCCGAATGTATCTGAAAATAAACGTAAAACGACGCGTTCTAGAAGAAGAGTAAAATTTCCAGAACATTTAAACGACCACTGCACGTAAGGCACTATTCGACATTTAATATTATCTCGATCTTTCTTTTAACGATATATAATTTTTTTTAAAAAAGACAATTTTAATATGCTTATATATTTATATTTATATTTTAAAAAAAACAAAACATAAAAAAACATTGTTTTAACGCTATTACGTGAGCTTGCGTATATTTTCCATTTTTTCGCCGACATTGTCTTTTTACGCACATACGAGTGTATTTCGACATGCACTTACACTTTCTTTTTGCTTTTCCAGGACGGCTGGAAAAGAACGATGCAGTTTACGAGGAGTCGAAATTTTCGTCGTAACTATGTTGTACCTCGGTCCCATATAGTAAGGAAAGACGACCAGACGCTGCTACACTTAGTAAGCTATCAAAAAAGTGTTTACCTACGACAAACTCGTTGGGTTTAAACTTCTGGCTGGCCACGTCTTAGGGTCGTCACTGCTACACTAGGGGGGGAGTGATCTGGAGCGATAAATAAATCCCCAAAATAAATAGCTCTGTAAGTATTCGACATTGGATGCTGACCATATGTTTTAGTGGACTCATCTAGCTGAAGGCGCTCGGTCAGACATCCGCACCAGATCACGTGTGGTAACGCCGTGCTCAACATCAACCGCAATCGCTAGCCAGATCCGATCAGAGAATTCCGATATACTGGTCATCGCCAAATATACTCTTCCGA